GTGGGGATGTGCCCGCAACCCAGGTACATGCCCTTGACCGGAATCGAACCTGGGACCTTTCAGTCCGCAGGCCGACGCTCTATCCACTGAGCCAAACCGGTTTCGGCGATAAAAAATTTTTTTGAAAGTCTTTTTTTTCTACTTTCACACTTGATTGATAATAGTTTGCCATTGCATAGGCTTCCAGGTTCAAAGTTATTGATCTTTAGAAGGGAACTCTTCCATTATCTCGCAGTAGTGTTGTTAGAGGTGAAGATTCCATCGTTCCCTTCCTTTGTAGGTAACCTGCCTCTTCTCCTACCTCATTTGTTCTCTACGTTTACAGAGCCTCCTCCCCCATCCATCTCGGTGCCCGACTCCTCAGACGGGAAGGCCCCAGCACGTCCTCCTCACCTCTAGCATATTTTCTTCTGTTATATCTTAGATTCCCCACAGTGTTGTTAGCCATGTTATTTAGAATATTTAACTTACCTAGTCAATCTTTTTTCTTTAATTTTCAATAACCCCTTGGTTTTTCAACCTTTTGTTTGTTTCATTTTATGGATACAATAACTAATCTCTTAAATCTTTCTGACGATAGTAGTTATAATTTCACCAAAAATTATAAACTAACAGAATGGATTAACAAGACAGATAGGAGCTAAATGAGAAAAGTGTTAACTTTACTAAGGGATAGAAAATAAATCTGAATAAAATGGGAAATAATTGAGTTTCATGATAGGAAACTGTGGTCAAGATGTTTTTCCGCCATTAATTGACAGGGTAAAAGCAGTGACAATTGGAGTCACATGAGGTTATTTTTAAGGGGAAGGAGTGGGTTTCAAGTTATTCTGAAGTTTACTGGAAAAAACAAATGCATGACAATAGCCAAGAAAAATTGGAGGATAAAGCCAGTGTGGTGAATCTGCATCAGGTCAGACAATGTGGGAATAGCAGATCAATGGAATACATTCTTGAGCGCAGACACAGAACTCATTTAATTAAATGAGTTAGTTTACAATAAAGGGGGCCAATAGAATAAAGAGGGAAGGGAAATATTCACCAAAGAGAGAAAGAACAGTTAGTTACCTATTTGAATTAAGTTTAATTAGATGTCCTATCACATATACTAGACTCAAACAAATTAAAGGTGGATTAGTGATTAAAAAATTTTTAAAGGATCTGGAAGGTATATAGTCATTCGTTATACTATTATTTCAACTCTTCAGTATGTTGGAAAACTTTTATAATAAAAAGTTGAATATGTCTAAAAAAAAGAAACACTGCAATGACAAAACTCAGAAATACACATGTATGAATTATGTTCTGAATTCAAGATGATTGAAGGCTTTCTAAGTAGAAACCAGAGAAGTAAAAGACATGACTTGATTATATATTAAAAAGGGGGAACCTCTAAATGTAAATAAGACCATGAGGTATAAAAAAACTAAGAAATTGGGGAAATAGTATAAAGTGTTGATATCCTTACTATACCAAGAGTTCTTACATATCAATAAGGAAAAACAAGCACCGAGTACAAAAATGGGCAAGGGATACCTCTAAACAACTACAATGTAAGTAATAAGTATGACCAATAAACATGTGAGATGCTCAACCTCACTACTAATTGAAGAAATCCAAATACACCAAGCATGGGGTATTTTTATCGCTTATCAGATTGGCAGAGAGTCTAAAAATGATACTTAAATAGCAACATTAGCAAATATGTGGGGGTTAAATGGGCACTCACTTTATGGATGGAGGGTCACTGCATATGCAACCTTTCTAGAAATTAATTTGGAAATATGAATCAAGAGCCTTATAAATGCTTATACCCATTGACTGAGTCACTTCACATATGGACTTTTTTTTAAAATCCTCACCTAAGGATATTTTTTCCATTGATTTTTAGAGAGAGTGGGAGGGAGGGGGGAGGAGGAGGAGGAGGAGGAAGAGGAGGAGAGAAACATGGATGTGAGAGAGACTCATTGACCGGTTGCCTCCCACACATGCCCTGACCCAGGGTGGGGATGGGACTTGCAACCCAGGTACAAGCATTTGATCAGTAATCGAACCCATGACCCTTTGGTGTACAGGCCTATGCTCTAACCACTGGCCACAGCCACACACGGACTTTTAAGACAATAATAAGTGTTATGCACAAAGATTTAGGTACATGCATGTGTTGGGTCTATGTGAACGGAAAAGTTACTGGAAAGAAAGGTACACAACACTGATCTAATTCAGTAACACTGAGATAAAAAAATGAATAATAAAAAAAAGAAAGCAAAAAAAGAAACACTTCTAGTTAACTCAGAGCTCTAAAACAGAACAGCAGAACTCAAATGAGGGAGAGTGAGGATAAGGGGAAATACCATGCCAGTTCTTTGGCAAATAGCTCTAAAATAACAAAAATAATTAATGCCTATTTTTTGCTAAGAGTCCAGCCCTTACCATAAAAATAGCATCAATTTACTTCTAATTAAATTTGCTGTGTTGGGATTTTTCACGTGAGGGCACACCCTCTGAACAATAGAATGAAGGGTCACTCACTCTTCCTGGACACGAGCCGATGGCGTCACCTGCATGCTTAAGAGGAATGAGCCACATCTCTCACTGCCACGAATGACTGCGAGGCACTTTCTCCCCTGAAGCCGTACCTGCTCCTGCAGATGTCCCACCCCCACTTCCACGTCCCTGCCTGTGAGCCAAATAAGAGGGAAATCGGCTAGGCTTCCTGCGTGGGGATTAACCGGGCTCAGGGTCAGCTGGTTTGGCTCAGTGGATAGAGCGTTGGTCTGCGGACTGAAGGGTCCTGGGATCGATTCTGGCTAAGGGCACATGCCGGGGTTGCGGGCTCGATCCCCAGTAAGGGGCATGCAGGAGGCAGCCGATCAATGATTCTCTCTCATCACTGATGTTTCCATTTCTCTCAACCTCTCTCTTTCTCTCTAAAATCAACAAAAATATAGTTTTAAAAAAGGATGAGTAGTAATAAACTGAGGGTGCAGCCATGGCAAAGGGATTTCAACTGTACCCCCAAACCCCCATTCGTCCACAGCAAGAGTCTTAAAGAGAGTGAACTGGGCTCTGAAACACTGGCTTTAGGAGGACCCGCACTCCCTCCCTCAGCAGAGGCCATGACATACCCGACTCCACGGGATAGGATAAAGGTTACGCGGCATTTTGGATTTTCTATTTGTTACCCAACATTACATTTCCACATGCAAGCGGCAGCTGATCATACATCTGAAGATAAAGAAGTTCAGACTCCAAATCTCATGCAAGCAACACTGCGTCCAGGGTGCCTGGCGGAGCCCCGCCCCGCTTCACTCCCAGCACAGCCCTGCTCACACACCCCATCACTGGGTCTCCCTCCCCGGGTGCACCCCCGCTGTGAGCTGCTATATTTACCTGTCTACTTGTCTCGCCCCCACCAAAGGGTGCCATTCTTGAGGGCAGGGCTTACCTCTTCTCCTGTGTCCCGGAGTCCTGGACTGTGCTTAGCATTAAAAATTCTATCAATGTTTCTTGACTTGAATCACCCATCCTGACAGATGTGACGAGATGGGTTAGAAGGAGAAGGAAAACCAGCTGGTTATGAGGTGACTAATCCTCATTCTAGGGCTCAGGGACTCATTTCCCACAGCACATCCAATTCCTGGCACACACCATGTGCTCAATAAATATTTTAAAATAAATACAAAGTAACAAAGACAGCACAAAGTGTTTTCTCAGCACGTCTTTTCCCTCTTCTTACCCCATAGAGTGAGCACATCATCCTGGAGAGGGAAAAATGTCACCTATGTCTTGGAAGGAGGGTCAGCAGGTCACAGAGACCAGGCAAAACAACCCCCCTTCTGGAATGAACCAAGGTCTCCGTTGAGCAGAAGGCCCCGGTTCTTTTGATGAGTAGTAGAAGTGACGTCTGTATTGTGCTTTCTGAGTTTTTTGGCACTTCCGTGTGACCTCACCTGCCACCACATCAGTGACTGCACAGAGGCCAGACCAGGTCGGCCTGATGTGGCAGTGACGCACAGACAGTTACCTGCCCCGTGCCCCTTGGCATCAAGCAGCAGAACCCCGGTTCATGGACCCCAGACTCTCGCTCCTTTTTATGATCCTGCTTTCCCCAACCGATGCTATTTATGCCAAACTGTGGGGTCAGCACACCTTTCCTCTTTCGGAGCATTTCACATTGGAGAGAGGGACATGCGGCGTCCTTAAGAAGCAGAGACACATGCAGAACCACCACAGAACAGAAGTTTATTCTGGGAAGACTAGCTGGAGGGAAGAGAGGGGCTTTTTGATGGAGAAAGACACAGAGAGGTCCCTGTGTTGCAGGACGCTGAGTTCAGTGGGAGGGCTTGACCAGTCCCTATACCTTTCCTCTGACAAATAATTGTGGAAGCTCAAAGCCACATTACCACTGTTTGCAAAGACTCTTAACCAACAAGGAACCATGGCATTTGAATGGTTTGCAATTGCCAGGTAGGTCTCAACACATCTAACTTTGAGAAGGTGCTTCCTCAAAGGAGAGTAAAGAAAAGGAACGCTGTGTCAAATTACCAACAGTTATGACATAACGCTGAGGGCATTTCAATGCTCCATGGGTCCAAGGGTTTCCTTCAAATCTCGTTCCACATGGCCTTTTTTCTTTTACATACTTGGTCCCTATGGGTTAGTTAACACGAAGCCTTGATCCTTTAACAATTTATTCGTGTTTTTACGAAGGCCCTTAAAGCCTCAATCATGTGCACAATCGCACTAGCAACCACCCGGCTCCGGACAACCTCGTGGGCTGGCTTGTGCAGCTGGGACTTCGAGTGCCACCATGTGCAGTCACAGAACTCACGGGGGAGAGGGAGGGGTCACTGGTGGAGGAGATGAGGCTTCTAGACCTCAATTTACAGCATCATGGCCAACGCCTCAGCGAGCCCACAAGCTCAGCCGTGTCCCCAGCCAGCACCACGGACAGCGGCCGGCGCGCGCCTTCTCCGGTGTGTCTGCGTTAAGCTTACCTGAATTGGGTGAGATGTGTAAACTGCTCATGTCCTTGGACAGGCCGTTGGTTTTGGGGCTGGAGATGGGTGCGCAGGCAGACGTGGCGCGGGGGGGCCTCTTCCCGGGGACCTTCACAGTGGTTCTCAGAAGGTCGATCTCTTTCCCGTGAACGTTCTGCATGTAATCCTGTTCAAACGTTAAATAGCCAAGATAGATTAAAAGCAGACCTTCCACCAACTGGGACAAGACGTTCTAGTGGATGTCATGAGCTGTAATCCTAGCCCTTTCCCCTGTGGCATATGCTCTGAAAATAAGGAGGCCCTGTTCTGCCTAGCACAGGGGCCTCCCTGTTATACGGAAGTCGGAGCTCTGCCTCCCAGTCCTGCGCTAACCCAGATCCTAGAGAGATGAGGAGACAAAGCAGACGGGCCCATCCCAGGGGACAAGAACCAGCTGTAGAAAATGAGCATGGACATGAAGTCATCTTGTTTGAACTGTTGCTTATGCGACGGCACACGGGGAACCAGGCCCCTCCTGGACTGTTTACCCACAATTCCACGGGGCAGAACTATTGTGCAGTGACCTTTCTGTCTCAGAGGGCAATGCTGTTAAACATCTCGATGAGGCTGAAGCTGCCTGGAGGGGGCAGTGGGGAGAAGGCCACTGAGAGCCAGGGTGAGGGGCCTGTTGGCAGATTAGGAGTTATCGACGCTTTCTTGCATTTTGGGGGGCAATGAGCCCCGTGTCTCTATAGACATATTATGAAATCAATAGCACTCATCAGAAAGGGATACATTCTGAACCGCTCGTGGGTGGATAACATTTCACAGGATTTAAGATTAAGCAGGAAATGGGATCGATGACTCGGTCCTTGCAGGATCTTGGTGGGTTCCCTTTAGACCATGAAGGGGAAAACCCACTGGTTTGTTTAGTGGAAGCAATCAGGTTCCTAAGGACAGCCCTCCAATGGCAGCTCTTTGTGCTGAGGCAGGACCCGCAGGGCTGTGGAACAGATACATGGGGGAGGGGTCAGAAGCTGCACCCCAGTGGGGCCAACAGAGGGGAGTGAGCTGGGCCTGCCTCAGTGGTGCCAGCCATGCCCTCCCTGGGCTGGCCAAGCTGTGCACTTCAGCTCCAAGGGGGCTTAGGGAGGGTCACCCCAATGTCCCCGGGGCAAGCTGGTGAGGAGGGGTGGTCGGCCACGGCCACCCTGGAGGACAGTTGTGGGTTTGGGGAAGGGAGGCTGTGTCCAGCTGGGAACAGACTGGAAACTTCACATGGAGATCAAGATGCTTGGAAAACTCCCCCAAATATAACCGACTATGAAAAAAGCTGTGGGTTTGAAAGGATGTGGACCAAAGATGTAAGAAAGCTATTATCATTAAATCAGGCTGCAGGACAGGCGGGCTGGAGGAAATGGAGGCAGACTTGTGGTCGAGCTCCCTGTGTTGAGGATGGGAACAAAAAGCACCTCAAAGAAAGTGACCTTGGTTAGTGTAGGGCTACAAGTCAAGGTCATTAAAGAGGTCATTCTTAAGCCTATTTCATTTACTTCTATTAATACCTGCCAAAAACAGGCAAGGCCAAGTTTCAAAACCAAAGTTAAGGCTTGTAAATAATGAATTCCTTCTTGCATAGTTACTCCTTTAAAAATATCAACTTGCTATAACTTTCTTCTTTAATGCCAATTCTTAACAAATTAAAATACAATAACAGGAGTGTAATTGAGCATTTATTGCTTATGGGCTCTAAAATGAGGCTAATCAGAGAGTGACTAAGCCTCAGCAGGGCTCTTTTAATGGGCACGTTTCAACATACAATAACCAGGACATTTTATTCAAAATTATTATAGAAATCTACGCAGAGCCTACTCCTTGGGTTTGAACGCGCCGAGGGAACACATCTGTCTCGAGCCCAGCATGGGCCGGGGATCTGTTCTCTTGCCTGAGTTATTTAGGCGCTGAAACTTCACAAGAACGAGCTGGGGAGGGAAATCGGAATATAAATCTGGCCATTTTTATATTTCAAGTCACCACAGTTTTTAAAAACTGTACTAAAGGCCTGTCCTACACCATCAAGGCCCCTCCAGGCAGAGCTCCGGAAACAGGTGGCAGGAGGGAGCCGCGAGAACATGGCTTCTAGCTTCTCCCACGAGGAATGACACTGAGCTTCCTGTTTCTGAAAGAATACACTCATCTTTTTCATTTCTCCTGGGCCTGGTACTAGAGGAATTAAAGTTACAACCACGAAACCCTGTCCCCCATCCTCTGAAGTGGGCTGTGCAGCTGGATGGGTCTGAGGCAGGGACTCCCTGGGTAAAGTAAAGACAGCAAGCTCGATTTTGATATGCAAATGCATGTTCCTTCTCCATGTTCCTTGTAGAAAATGCTGATCGAAGATAAAAGGGGAAAAAACCCTTTAACAAGGCATGAGGGTAATTCAAAGCCAAGTACTTTTAAACAGCACTTAACAAGTCCCCGGGGCCCACTCAAGAGCCAGGCCCCCCAGAGGTGCCATCTCCTGCCCCTCAACAGCTTGAAAAAGTAGTAATTGCAAACCTATTTGCATTTTTCTTCTCAAGTTGTCCATGCTCATCATGTGGATTATTTTTTCCGAGCAGGCGCTGGAGCAGAGGGACCCGTCCAGACGCGCGGATGGCTCCGCCACCGTCCTGCGTCCCCCCGCACCCAGGCTCCGCACCTTCGCCATCCCTTGTTTTTTGCATTTCGCTCCTAATTATGTTGCATCTATTGCCGTACACTTAATTAGCTGCATTAATGTGATTTCTTTTCACATAGTCAAGCAATTAAGAGCTATGATTGAGTTTCATTCAATTAGCCTCAACAAACATGCTAATTGATGTCCCAGATGCAAATGAGCTGCAGTGAGAGAAACCTGCTAGCAAGTGAGAGGAGCCCAGAGCCACAGCTTCCAGCTTGCTGCCACCTCCGTGGGGCTGCCACCAGGAGGGTCAGTCATCAGTGCCTGGGTCTCCCCCCACACGGAGAACTGACGGACAGGCTGCTGTCCAAGGCTGTCCTAAAACCTCACAGTTACACATCACCAGGACCGGGAGATCGTCAATTGTATAACACTGTGCTCTGCAAGGAGATGGCCCAGAGTCCACACGGAAGTACCGCAGGAGGCTGCTTAAAAAAACGCAGGCGTTCTCCCCAAAGCCACCAAGGGGAGATGCGTGTGTCTCCACAGTCTATACAGTGCTCAGTAAATGGCGAGTTCATCTTAGTCAGCTCTGGGGCATCTGGCACTTCAAGTTAAGCGCAGAATACAGCAATCCATCAACAGTCCCTAAAAATACTCTTACTCCATCGATTCGCACTGCCTCCCGTCTGGACGTTACCGGTGGCTGTCTGGTGAAAGATGGTTTGCCCGATGTGTTCACAGGGGCACTGAAGGCAGTTAACAAGGAATTAAAGCTGAACTGAACTGCACGGACGGCTGGACTGGCATCTAAGGCAGACATGCACCGAAGGGCTACTCTCTGATGCACAGGTGGTGCAATCAACAACACGCCATTTTACACACACTTCTAAAAAGTATGAAGATACTTCATTTTCACAATTAAATGGTGGAAAAAATAATGGAATCTTAGTTCCAATTAGGTTTTCCCGATAATAAATATCTCGTCTAAGTTAGATAACTTAGGACATACTGACATTTACTTTTTTTTTTTTTTTTTTTTTTTTTACCATGGTTAATCTAATTGGGTTTTTCCTCTTTGCATTATCTACCTTAGCAGTGCTCAAATTGTGGTCCTGGAAATACTATGGGGGTGGAGGAGGAGCTACAAGTTAAACACTATTTTTAAAACAATTCCAAGACACTGTCTGCCTTATTTACTGTGTTCAAAGTTGCTTTGACTTTGCAAAAGTGATGGTGGCTAAACCTGCGGGCTCCTTAGCACGAGTGGGACCAAATTGGGCTACTTTACTCATTACTGTATTCATGGCAACCCTCTTTAAATACAAACAAACAAGAACAGTTTCACTTCAAAATGTTAAGAACCCCCCAGGGCCCTGGCAAGGTAGCTCAGATGGTTAGAGCATCATCCCAATATGCCAAGCTAGCGGGTTCAATACCTGGACAGGGCACATACAAGGATCAACCAATGAATGCATAAATAAGAGGAACTACAAATCTCTCTCTCTCTCTCTCTCTCTCTCTCTCTCTCTCTCTCTACCCCTCTCTAAAATCAATTTATAAAAAGGCACCCCCCAAGTTGATTTTTAAAAAATTTCAACCCTTGAGTACATGCCTTTTTAATTTTTAATTTCCTGGGTGAGGACCTGGAAAGCACCAGAGTGTTCCGGCTGCGTCCTGAAGGCTGAGGGTTACCTTGCAGAGAAGCATCTCCACGGCTGTGTGAGTTGTGAGCTGAACTAGCCCCTTTTTACTTGAAAGACCGACCATGTCAGACTTTAACTACAATTACTCAGTGTTGAGTATTTGGCAGGCATTTTCTTGAAAACAGTATTTATGGCCAATGATAAAATTTGAGCTTTCCCATGACAATGAGGATTTTCAAAACCAGTATGTCTCACCATGAGCTTGACACCTTCCAAATGAGACAGACGTTACGCCAAGGGTGGTGGTGCTACAAATGTGATTTCTGGACACGACGGAATGAGAGTGTCACACTTTGAACTCCGCATACCTCAGTTACACATACCTCTGAGGTGACCGATGCGTGAGCGCAAGAGGATTCACAGTGCAAGGCAGTTCTAGGGGCTCCAATGCGGCAGAGAATGAACATTTAGTGACACGGTTTCGGATCCGCACTGCATTCTGAGCTTTAGCGGCCTCCAAGAACATGCACAGTGGCCTGAAACGGCTAGCCAAAAACTCCTCCCGTTTCTAACAAAATAACTATCAGCAGACAGTTTCCTCAGACACTTTCACCAAAACAACATATCACAACAGATTAAAGGAAGCGCCAGCAGACATGACAACTAGCTGTCTTTTATTAAGCCGGACAGCAAAGGGCTTCGAAAAAATGCACATGACACTCCTCACGATTTTCTTTTGGAAAGTATATTATTCATAAAACATCTTATTTATGGAATAATGTTACATAATTGATGGTTTATTATTCCTATTTTAAATTATATAACGGTTTCAAAATTTTCTGTTTTAATTAACATGATAAATATTGACAGATATAATGC